ATGAAAATCAGTACAAGATGTCTGTCAGGAAGAGAGACCAGAAGTGGAGCATCTGAGATAAACTAAGTAGTCTCTTGAGATAAACATTCTTTGGTGCAGTAATACCTATGGCTCCAGGCCACCATGGGTCTGTAATGTCTCCCATACTGTCAAGGCTGTTATCTGCTATGCCCACTGCCACCTACTCAGAATAAATCCCCTTAACTGATAAGCACATTATGTTGAGGACCCCTGCTTGTCACTTCTATCTAACTGGGTGGCTTATATGAATGTTATGACACTGAACTGCTGTGTTTTTAAAACCATGAGTGTATTTTAGTTGGTTGGGATCAGGCCACCATTACATCAGCGTATGGGGTTCATTGAAATGAAAAAGCTTAAAAGTAGCTCATGGCTTACGGAACTTGGAAATGTTTACTGTAAACTGCAGTCTGCCTTGCTAATTAGAAATAATTAGTTAAGATGAAGGAAGACTTTGAACAAACAAGCAGCAGCAAATCTAGAAGCACAAATGTGGCTGCTCTCTTTTGTGCTAAAATACATTGCTCCATGTTATTTCCTAAATACATCTGTACGACAGGACAAACGGGCACTCGACAATAATGCATCAGAGGCAGGAGGAGTGCTTAGCAAAGGTCTCACACAGAAGGAGAATCTCAAACAAAAAGAGAAGCTCCATGAATGGGTTTTTTTTCTGTCCTTACCCTATTGCTCATGGTTTAAAATGAATTGCATTGGTTTCCTGTGATTCTCCCCACAGAAAAACTGAAAGGAGTCATTTTAGACTTTGGATTTTATTAGATAAAACAAATATCCTTTTATTTTACTGGAAGTAAATGGCACCATGATAGAACAATCAAAAGCTGCTTTCAAGGAAGCAAACAAGTTACTGCAAACTACAGACTGGCAGCCAAGCTATACATAAATAGATCAGATATGTGGTGGTGATATCCGGGTGATAAATTACATTTACCATGCTCCTTTGACCACCTCACCTGCATCCTGCTCACCCTTGAAACTTACATTAACATTCCAAATCTCTCAGCAGTTTCAAACAGCTGGCATTCAACCCCCCCGCAATCCACCCCCTTTTAGAGAAATGTTCCCTTTTTTCTCCCGAAACATGGGGTTTTCCCAAAATTACCATGGGCTGTGGTCTGGGAGGATTGATACTTACTGACAGACTTAATGGTTGGTATCTCAAAGCCCAACAGGACTAGAAATGAAAATGGACAGCCACTAGACCTCCTTTGCAAAGTGCTTTCAGGTGTATTGCTGAAAAGTGCTTAATAAGTCCAAAATGTTGTTATTACTGGAACCAGGAGGAATCAAATAGATGTGCAATATTAGCTCTTTTCTTTGGAAGTTGTCAAGACACTGGACTTTACAGCTGTGACATCTTAATGTTCATTTTTTTGGAAAATAAAACAAAGGTCTAAACAGGCAGGGAAAAACTGGTTGATCAAATCCAAAGCCTTTTGAACTAAGCCTGCTTCTTTCTCTCTGTTGAAATATAAAAATTGTAAATGCTGTTTCTAAAATTCTCCTTTTAAGTCCTGAAATGAATCTTAGGAAGTTTCTTAAATTATGGCAAAGGACTAGGGTTACCATACATCCGGGTTTTCCTGGACATGTCCTCTTTTTGGGTCCTCCCATCTCCATCTGGGAGCTTTTTTAAAATGTCAAAAAATGTCCAGGGTTTTGCTTATCATCAAAGTTTTTCCTGGCCCTTCCTGGCTTGCTCTAGCAAGGAGCTGCTTGGGGCTGGTGGGAGCTGGGGGAGAGCAATTGGCAGCAGGGGGAGAGCAATTGGCAGCACACGCACATGGCTGGCATGCAGCCAGGCAGGGTGATGGGAGCAGCCCTGGCAGCTGCATGAAGGTAAGTCTCCAGGGGGTGAGGGCTGGAGGACCAGAGCTTGGGTACTCTCTGGTGGGCTGTGTGTGTGGGTGGATATGTGAGGGGGGTAGGTGCCTGCTGGCACTGAGGGAAGCTGTCTGGACATTGGGGTTGCAGCAAGCCAGGGGAGGCGCCTACCCCACCAGTGTGGAAAGGAGGTGGGGCGGGCCCTTCAGAGGCCTGGCTGGCAGCACTGGGGTCAATGCCCTTGCTCATAGGGGCAGGGCAGCCAGGAGACACTGCAGGGCTGGGGGGAGCAAGGGCTTGCAGGTTGGGAGTGAGGGGCACTGGCAGGGCTGTGGCTTGGGAGTGAAGGGCACCAAGGAAGTCGGGAGATTGTGGGTTGGGAGCATGAGGCACAGGCAGTGGCAGATGGCTGTGGGTCAGGAGTGAGAGGCATCAGCAGGGACAAGGGGGCTGTGTGTTGGAAGTGAGGGGCACCAGCATGGCCTGAGGGGCAGGGTACTGTGGCTCAGGAGTGAGAGGCACCAGCAGGGCTGGGGGAGGCTGTGGTTTGGGAGTGCGGGGCAGGGGTAGGGCACCGGCATATCACTGCTCCCCCCACAATCATATTACTACTGCCCCCCCCCAACAGGTATCCTCTGTTTTAAAAGTGGAAATATGATAACCCTCCAAAAGACCAGCACCATCTTTCAGCAAACCTGAATCATGTCAGTGACATTAGTTGGCCTCTGATGTAAAGAAGCGGGCCAGCAATGGTTAGCCACTTAGCTCTGCAAAGTGAAAAGTGAAAGAAGTTCTGTATTTAATGACTACCTTAGTCTTAGACTACCAGAAACCCTTACAATAATGTGACTACTGTGAGAATAGGAGAGAAAATCCACAATAAAATGTAAACCCAAGCAATACCAGGAAAACTCAGAGTAGCTTTCTTTTCATTAGCTTTCTGTCTGCTCCTCATTGTTCCTCAGCTGGATAATCAATCTTTTTTTAACAAGGTGCAAATGTATTTTCACACCTCTACCTAAAAACTAGGTTAGGTCTTCTAGCTAATTACACATTATTAATGGGTTCCACAACTGTGGCTCTGCAGGTTACAGAGAATAGATGCACATCCATATACAGATGTGCGTATGGGCATGCACATAGAAGCCCTCTTATACAGAGATCAAATTCTGCAATGTGTTAAGCACCTTTAACTCTCATAGGAGCCCTGAAGAACTGAGCTCAAAAGGCAGACCTTTTACCACTAATAATCTACTTTCTTCATAAAAGGGAATGCAGTTTTCGTATTGCAATGCACTGAAGCAGTCAATTCTAAGTCAGAATTCTCCACGATTCTCTCCAAGTGGGTTTCACTGTGTAGGCTCATATTGACCTAATAACACTTCTTTCAATATTGAGAAAACACCTTGGCTTTGCCCAAACTGACTGTGAAGTAAACGCAGCAAATTTAGAACTGGTGCTGTAAAGTTACTTTAAACAAAACCTACCTATAAACATAGGAATCATCATACAGCATCAGATCCAAGGTTGATCTAATGTAATAACCTGCCTCCAATAGTGGCCAAAATTATATTTTAAATTAAATTATCATCTTTTCACCAATAGAGGGCTTTCTAAGAGGTCTGACAGAATTTTCATAACATAAGAAAACACCATCTTTCCTCAGGAGATACAACTGAGGGAATTAAGACAAGATGCCAAATACTAATGTGTGTGATTAAGAAACTTTCAGCCTAATTCTAGTTGAGAGCTATATCATAACCGATTATACAGAGTAGCAATTCAGCTTCATTTCCACAGCCACAAATGTGTACCACAAATGAGGAATAACAAGATGGATTTTGCATGAATTCTGAGTACTCTGGTTTAGAAGACTAGTTTTTGAAGTTATTAACGGTCTTAAAAATATTACAGTAGTGTAAGAGGGATGCAGTAGCTAAGACAGTCCAGAAATTATGTGAGAAGCAAGGATTTCTTACAACGATATCTTTTCATGGACCAACTATGTAGCTGGGATAAAGTTAGACAAGCTTTTGAGTTCAAGGCATTCTCTCTGAGACCCGATAAAAAATGCATTGCATTTGAAAGCTTGTCTAACTTTATCCCAACTATGTAGCTGGTTCAATAGAAGACATCACCCTAAGAAATCCTACAACCTACACCCCTATAAGAAATCCTTGTCTCTCTTAAAAATGTTATGCATTGAAAAAGTAAAGTAGTTGCATTTTACAACTTCATGAGCTCTCTTACGTGAAAAAGCAAGAATTTATAAACACTGTGTTTACATATTTATCTATTACAGACTGAAAAAATGATTTAAATAATACTAAAATGACTATTTTTTCCTAGTCAAACTTTTTAAGTTTCTCTGGACTATAACGAAATAGTTTTTAGGCTTTAAGATCCTAGCTGGCAGGGAGAACAAGCTCCAATTGTCTCAAAGTTTAGCTGTTGAACAGATCAGTGTTTTACGTGTGATGTAAAAATAGTTCACAGTTACTAAAAAGAAATCTCTGAACTCTGTTCATGAGGAGGAAAAAAGACTATTTACAGTTTAAAAGCACAAATCAAACAATCTACCAATACATCGACATTCTAGGATAGTTTCTGGCATGTGGAGAGATAATGAAGACATAACTGGACTCTGCCAGTAGAAACACCTGAAGTTAAGCCCAATGGTTCTGTTCTGAAAGTATGTAGGTCGTTCCACTGTAGTCCAGATACTAAGGTAGAGCTCTTCTTTGTGTTTTTGATTTCCAGGTTTCCTAAGCATGTATTACTTGGGAGTGATGCTTCCTCAGATCCTGCATCTGCTACTAATGACTTATAAAAGGTAGAATGACAAGACCTTTGCTTATTTCTTTTGCCTTAATGTGGTGTAGTGCTGTAAGGGCATGCTTGCCAACATAAACAAGTCTGTAATAGCTAAGCAGAATATAAGCCAGCCTTTGTAAGTACTGTGCTTCAATGTATATTGCATCAGTAATCACTAAGCCCTATGCTTAAGAGAAACCCATAGTTCTGTTCTCTAGGTTGCTTATTTTTAGCTGCCCCAAATGCAGCAATGCAAATCCTTCCCCCTGTACTCCTCCCCAAGAAAAAAAACCAGTAAGGGATGTATATTTTATACTCACCAGGATCAAGACTGCCAGTAGCTGCAGTCCAGCCCATGATGGGAGGAATGGCACCAACAACAGCCCCCACCCATGTGTTGGCAATGCTCATTCTTTTCATTGGTGTATAACAACATGTGTAGAGGAAAATGTTGAAGGCTCCTAGTGCCCCAGTGAGAGAATTTACTCCCAGTGTCAACAGGGCGATTCCTGGAATTGCACAGGAGGCAGCAAAGGACACAGCAAGGAGTGGACTGTAAAAACCAAAAAACATGGTTAACAGAAAAGCTGACCGCCAAAGAAACTATGCAATCAAAGGCTACATCTGCTCCCCTCATATTGTGTATAGAGTAACAGCTAAACTTAAGGTTGCAAAACTTTTTTCAGTAAAAACAAATCAGTTTCTAGATGCCTGTAACATTTTTTTTAAGGTGAAATTTCTACACTCTACCTTTCAGCTAAAGCAAGCCTTTCTGGAGAAGCTGGCTACGACGGCTTTAGAGTTATAAATGATGGAAATAATTACACTATTTCTTATTCTTGTGACCAGTGCTGAAAATTCAGAAATACCTGAACTGTGTAAATGTATACTATTCTAAGGCTATTAGAATAGGACTCATATAAGCAGGAATAAACATTTTTGATGATGTACCCCAAATGGCTAGAGTTTCCAACCTCAAAGCTGGCTTACATATGGTGCTTAACATGTTTGAGGGAATTTGAGCAATGAAACCAAAATAAGATTTGCTATTTTCTGAAAGCAACAGCAAGTGATCTACAACTTCCTAGGTTTTGCTAGAAGCAAAAGGCTGCAGCTGGATTTTCACAAGTCCTATTTTCTAGAAGTCAGATTCAGAGGAGGAAACTGCAAGCTCCTGCCAGTCCCAAACAGAAATTTCTGCAAAAATGTCCAGTGGTGAAAAGGTTAATGCTGCCATCTAAGCTGCCATAATAAACACCCAATATGATTAACAAAGGCTCTTTAACCCATATTTAGACAAACTGTTTTGATTAGTTCTCAGAACCACATTGCCTGTGTCCCAGCACTGGTACACAAAAAAGGGGCCTGTATTTCTGCTGGCCTGATTCAGTTTTATACCATTTTAACTCGTTTTGACCACAGTGGAGATGCACTTCATTTACACTTGTGAAAGAGTTTGAACAAGTTGCTTCACTTTGCTTTTTCTAATGGAAAGGAGCAAACAGAAACTGGGGGGAGGACTATGGAAAGGAGGCGAGTAATGTTAAGTGAGTTTTGGTTTGGTAAACTCTTTACTTCATACTTTAACCAGCAAGACAGGAATAGGAAATTATGTGTTTGCAACATAGCTAAATTAATTCTGGTAACAAGCTTATCTCAACATAACTTGACTCTTAAAACTATGCAACCCTCACCTTCCATTAGCAGGTTTTCATTCAGTATTTTTCATTCTATCCTTAATAGTATACTCCTCTCCTACTGCCAAATCTTTAATACTGAAATATGCACTGCAACCAATGTTCCACACACTGCTCCGTGAAGTCCCACCAGCAAAGATGAATTTTAATAAGCTGTTGTTATTAAAAAGCCTTAACTGTTCTGTTTTGATTGTTATAACCCTAGTCAGACAAGTCACATCAGACAGAGCCTTTTACAGATTTCTAAAATAATCAGAACCATCAATATAAGCAAGTCTCAAGTTAAAATGTTGGAACTAAGTAAAAATCTGTCTTCAATTTAAAATAAATTAACTGAGCCAACAAACTGAAGAAATGAACACAGATAATACTGCCAGCTCCTAAAATCCAGCAATACATTTTACATTATAAAGTGTAGAGGGAATATACTTATTTCCTTCAGTATTCACAGTTTTTGATAGTTATGAATACAGACAGGATACTGTGTTGTCATCCACTGACAAGATGAAGATTTGCAAATTTTGCTAACGAGATACACTGTTAAAGGACCGTATGGGGCTGTGTCCATTAGCTTTATTGGGAACTAGATTCTTTTATTCAGCAAACACCATTTGCATAGTAAATTGTCCCAACACTATGTCTATACATTACACTTTCTTAGCATTTCCCCTGCACATTTAAGAAACCCTGAATTTGGTATAAGCAAATCCAACTCACTGAGTTCCCAAATACAGTAGAATTAGACTGTAAGTTCCTGAATGATACAGTGGTTATACATAGAAATGAACTGGTAGGAAGACAAAGGACCAGCTTCCACCCTCACACCTTGAGGAACTGCTCATTCACTTCTCTTGGTTTCCATGGGCATAAATGAAAACAGAACTTGGCTCAGAGCAATGAACACTGCTCCTCCTAATTAAGAGAGTGGAATCTTATGCATCTCCTCAATTTAAATGAATGCTACATCATTATAAATTGCCACAGGAAATGAAAGTCCAGAAGATACGTGTGTGTATAGTGGTGGGTGAGGTAAAGTGGCTGATGAATAAGCCTGGCATGACAGGATAAATAGTAAGCCTGCTCTTCTAGCACTGTTTGCATGGAGCGGCTCAGCAACAACTATGCTTAGTTCTTGTATGAAAGAAACTATATCCAGCATAACACCCCCATGCCATTTTTCATGTTTTTTAAACCGGTGGATGCAAGAACACCCTGAAGATAAAAACAGGGTCACAATTAGTCTCAGTGGTGGCTGGATCTCTCCTAGTTACAGCATGAGACTGGAATTCAGGGCTCTTGGGTACCATATTGTCTGGCCTCGGGTAAACTGTGTGGCTCAAAGGGTTATCCATGGCCAATTAATATTGGCAAAATGAAGTATAAAACCGAGTACGTTCATCTAGCTTAGTGGTCCTCAATCTTTTTAGACCCAAGGCATTCCTCCATAACTTTTCTGTTTAGCGGCATCCTTGAATGGATCTCATGGCACCCCAGTTAAAAAACACTGATCTAGTTTATGAAGGATTTTTTGGGGAGGTGATATCTTTCATCAGACACAGTACAAGTTAGATAAGTTTTCAATACAAGACATTCTTCATTGGGTTATTAGTTCTTGAAATTAATTTAGAAACTAGTTAAATACTACAAATGGAGACAAAGGATTGATTAACATGTTTGCTGGTATGAAACACTGGACTTAACAAATAAAGAAGCTTGCATATGCAGGGGGGTAAGAATTTGCCTACATTTAAAATTATTAAAATTATATTTTAAAGTATTAAAAATAAATCAGAACTTTTGTGGTAGAGGCAATATCTTTTATTAGACCAACTAGATAGTTGTAAAACATTTTTTTTTTATTTGCAAGCTATCTAGTTGGTCTAATAAAGGATAATCACCTGTACTACAAGAGTTCTGACTGCTTTTGCCTGTAGACCGACACAGCTACAACCTACATCCCTTAAAAATCAACCTACATTTAAACACTATTTTATTGAAGGTAGGTTCCATAAGTAAAAAATTGTTCCGAGTGGCCATTTCACTGACAGCTATACTTTGCTCTATAGATGATATGTAGATAATACTTTAAACTTACCAGTTTAGCGAAAAAAATGTATTTAATTCCCTCTGCACTAACATGACACCATGGCATAAACAGAACATTCCTTACAGATAATCCTTGACATCATGTAAACTAAACAACTCATCCATCTTTCCATATATTTATAACATACTGGTATCTGAGCACCTTACCAATTTATAGAATAAAGGACTACAAAAAGAGTTGAATCTTTATTTTTAAATTCAGGATAAATCAGGGTTGTTTAGATCTATAATTGTAACAACTTTAAATCTACTTGGCTATGCACAAGCGGTTCTGAACAGCAGAACTCCTCACCCTGCTTGACCCTGAGGCTTCCCTCAATCATAAGCGCTATAGCACCTACTCACTTTCCCAAGGAGACAGCAGACGGCACTGCAAAGAGAATCACTGTTTAGTACAAACTTCAAAATTAGAAGTGGCATGCATTGCATAGCCTTCTTAGCACTTCTGAGATCCAGCCTTGCTTCCTACGAACAAACATGATACCTACACGAGGATGCAGGAAACTGGTTATTCTAAGAATATATATTGTGACCCGAAGACAGCAAAGTAACTTATAAAATGAGTGAACAAGAGAACAGGACACAAGAAACAAAATAACTTATAAAAGCCAACAGAGTATTAAAATAAGCTATAGACCAGGCTTGTCCAATATATGGCCTGCGGGCCGCCATGAGGCCCGCCAAGGCATTTTCTGTGGCCCGCGGTGCTGCGACAGGAAACGAAAGTAAACACGGTTTACTTTCGTTCCCACCCCTCGTCTCTCCCCCAGCCCCTCAGCAGCTTCCTAATGGCTGCTGAAGGGCTGGGGAAGGGACAAGGTTTCCACATGCACCGCGTCAGCTTGATGTTGCTGACGCGGTGCGTGTGGGAAGAGGAGTAACCATGTGCCTCTCAGGACAGGATGAGCCTGGCCGGAGCAGCAGGGGGCTCAGCTGCACTTTCCCCCTACCTGTGCTGGTCAGTCCCGAGCGGCACATGGCTCCGCCACTGCTTCTGCTGGCTGGTGCAGACCCGGCCCGCCTCCTCCCATCCCTAGCAGCACACGAGGAGCCGACTTCAGCCGCGTACGGCTCTGGATGGGACGGACCCAGGCGGGTCAGCACCGGCCAGGAAAAGTGGCATGCAGCTGAAACTGGCTGCTGGGGACGGGAGGAGGCGGGCCGGGGCTGCACCAGCCAGCAGAAGCGGGGGGGGGGGGGGGGCG